AATATGTACGTAAAATATAAAAGGTGTGCACATATAATTGGTAACAGCAATTTACCTCTGGAAGGAAAATGGGAAATGGGAGGTGGCAAGGAGAGATTTCAACATTATTTGCAATATTTGAATTATTATTAACAGAATATGTACACATAATACCTGAATTAAAGGTTAAAGTGCCTAAATTCAGCAAACAAATTCAAATAAGAGATTAAGTAGAAAGCCAGTAAATTACTTGTTAGATGATAAAGAACACCACCACCCAGAGCACCCAAAAGCATTGGTAGCTCACTCGGTTGGAGCACTGTCCTGATGCACCATAGTTGTGGGTTTGATTCCTAGTGGGGGACATGCAAGTCAGCCAATGAATGCATAAGTGTGTGGAGCAGCGGATCAATGTTTCTCTCTCTCAAATAAATAAATAAAAATTTGTATAGCAAAAAAAAGTCATGAAAGAATTTTAACTAAAACACCAACCTGGACCCACTGTGAAAAAGTAAGACTAAGTCAGAAAAGTAATTAAACTACTATCAACTGGTAGTTAAAGAGGTACCCTTGACCAAGTGATTCACCAGCAATAAACTTCAGGAAATGTTAAGAGCTACAATTATACAGATAAAAACAGACAAACATTCACCATAAATATAAAGTGGAAAGGTTTAAATAAGCCAAAGAATCCTAGATTTTTCCAACTTTCTGTTCACTCTTATCAGCCACCTAGGGATAGGGCTGGTTGTAACTGAGTAAACTCAGTTCACTTTGCTGTTTTGTTATTGTGTGCTGTAGCAAGGATGATGAGAAAGGCAACCAGGAGGTTCAGTCTGCTACAGAGGGAAGTCATGTGCACACAGCTACTATATATATGTCTGGGACTTTGAAACCAGAAGAACCTGGTCTGATGCCTACTCTAGTTCTTCTTTCCACATCTACATTTTCTACTAGTTTGGTTATTTACTTACTCACCCTTCTATTTTCAAACATAAAGTATCAGCCGCTTGAATTCTAGAGTTACTTTACCTTTCTTCTCTTAAAAAAAAAAGAGATTTTTTAAAAGGTGTTAGTACTATTTAATTCTTCAATTTTATTAGATATAGTATGTGCAATGTTAAAAACAGCCTCTAATAAAAAATCTATATATGCTTCAATTTTTAAAGGGAGAATTTACAGGTTTTTAATGTTTTTTCTTAATTTTTTAAAAAGACTTTTATTTATTTATTTATTTAATTTTATTTTATTTTTAAAAGATTTTTTAGCCCTGGCTGGTGTAGCTCAGTGGATTGAGTGCGGGCCTGCGAACCAGACAATCGCGATTCGATTCCCAGTCAGGGCACATGCCTGGGTTGCAGGCCAGTTCCCATCAGGGGACACACTAGAGGCAACCATACATTGATGTTTCTCTCCCTCTCTCCTTCCCCTCTAAAGATAAATACAATCTTTAAAAAAAAGATTTTTTATTTTATTGCTTATGCCATTATAGTTGTCCCATTTCCCTGCCTTCATTCCCCTCCACCATGCACACCCCCTGCTCCCCGCTCCCCCCTTTAGTTCACGTCCATGTGTCATAAGTTCTTTAGGTTCTACATTTCCCACACTATTCTTGCCCTCCCCCTAATTTCTCTTCATCGTCTATGCTACTTATTCTCCATACCATCTCCCTTTCTCTCCTCCTCCCACTCCCCTGTTGCTAACCCACCATGTGATCTCCATTTCTGTGGCTTTGCTCCTGATCTAGCTGTCTGCTTAGTTTGCTTTTGTTTTAGCTGTGGCTGTTAGTAAATGAGTTTGCTGTCTTTTTATTGTTCATATTTTTTTATCTTCTTTTTCTTAGATAAGTCCCTTTAACATTTCATATAATAAGGGCTTGGTGATGATGAACTCCTTGCACTTGACCTTATCTGAGAAGCACTTTATCTGTCCTTCCATTCTAAATGAAAGCTTTGCTGGATAGAGCAATCTTAGATGTAGGTCTTTGGATTTCATGACTCGGAATACTTCTTTCCAGACCCTTTTTGCCTGTAAGGTCTCTTTTGAGAGAAATCAGCTGAGAGTCTGATAGGAACTCCTTTGTAGGTGACTGTTCCCTTATCTCTTGCTGCTTCTAGAATTCTCTCCTTCATTTTATTTATTTTTTTAAAAAGATTTTTATTTATTTATCTTTAGAGGGGAAGTGGGGGAAGGAGAGAGGGAGAGAAACATCAATGTATGGTTGCCTTTCGTGCGTCCCCTGCTAGGAACTGGCCTGCAGGGAACTGGCCTGCAACCCACTCTCCTTCATTTTAATCTTGGCTAATATAATTATGATGTGCCTTGGTGTGTTCCTCCTTGGGTCCAACTTCTTTGGGACTTTCTGAGCTTCCTGGACTTCCTGGAAGTCTCCTTCCTTTGCCATATTAGGGAAATTCTCCTTTATTATTTGTTTATATAACTTTTCCACTTGTTGCTCTTCCTCTTCCCCTTCTGGTACACCTATAATTCAGATGTTGGAACGGTTAAACATGTCCTGGAGGTTCCTAAACCTCTCCTCATTTTTTTGAATTCTTGTTTCTTCATTCTTTTTTGTTTGTTTTGTTTTGTTTTTCCCTTCTGGTTCACTCCATTGATTTGAGTCCCAGTTTTCTTTCCATCACTATTGGTTTCCAGTGCATTTTCCTTCATTTCACTTACTGTAGCCTTCATTTTTTCATCTAATTTGTGAACAAAATCAACCAGTTCTGTGAGCATCCTGATCACCAATGGTATGAACTGTGCATTTGATAGGTTGGCTACCTCTTGGTCGCTTAGAAGTATTGGCTCTGGGGCTTTGATCTGTTCTTCTGTTTGAGCCATAATGTTTTGGTCTGGTCACACCTGTTATGTATGAAGGGCAGAGCCTTAGGTGTTCTCCAGGGCAGGGCAACCCAGATGCTGGGTTGTGATGCTGTATGTGGGGACAGGGTCAAAGAGGGAGCAATGGAGCTTGCTCTGCTCTCTCTCAGATTTTGGTCCCTTCTGTCACTTCCCACAAGCCAATTGGGCCTTTCTGGTGCTGGTTCCTGGGTGGGTGGGCTTATGTACATTCTAGGACCCTGTGGGTCTCTCCAACAAACTCTCTTGTGAGGCTGGGGGTCTCTCCCAGCATTTCAATCCCCAAAAGTTTTTGCAATCGGTGCTTTTAGGTTTTATTTCCCATCGCTGGGGCCCTGGTTTGAGCAGTTTATCTCACTGCCCGTTTTTCCTGGTTTATCTGCGCGTGAATGTTTGTCCACGGTCAGCCAACCACCTTGCGCACCTTACTGGGTTTGCTCGTTTCCTCCCCGCAGGGCACCAGGGTCTGCCAACCACTGCCTCGTCCTGCCAGGACCCCTCTCCACCCCTCTTACTGGTCAGGATGAATGGTCTGTTGTTGTCGTCAGACTTCGGTACAGTTCAATTTTTTGTCTGTTCTGTTTGTGTTTTTGTTTCTAAATCTTTGCTGTCCTTAAATTTGGTTGTGCGAGGAGGTACGGTGTTTCCACCTACACCTCCATCTTGGCCGGAAGTCTTATTTATTTACTTTTAGAGAAAGTAAAATAATTATTTTACTTTTAATCTTATTTATTTTACTTTTAGTCTTACTTATTTTACTTTTTATTTACTTTTAGGGAGGGAGAAACATCAATGTGTGGTTGCCTCTCCTGCGCCCCCTACTGGGGGCTTGCCTGCAACCCAGGCATGGGCTCTGACTGGGAATGGAACTGGAGACACTGGCTCGCAGGCTGGCACTCAATCCACTGAGCCACGCCAGCCAGGGTGTTTTGTGTTTTTTTTTAAAAATATTTTATTTTTCTACTTTTAGAAAGAAAGGAAGGGAGGGGGAAAAGAGGGAGAGAAACATCCATGTGCGAGATATATACACCAATGGGTTTACCTCCCACATGCCCCTAACCTGGGAACCTGGCCTGCAGCCCAGGGCTGTGCCCTGAACAGGAATCAAATCTGCAACCCCTCAGTTTGCAGGCCGGCACTCAATCCACTGAGCCACACCATCCGGGGCTCCATGTACACTTTAAAAAGCTTTGTGAAACATTTTAATGACAGCTCAGATTCTCCATGGAACAAATGAAGATGATGAATGTCTGCTAAACAGTGATTCTAGGATGAGCAGCAATCAACTGGTCTCAGCAAAACACAAGTCAAGATTCGAAGTGGGGCGTCCTTTTCCCAACGATCCTCAAATCATGTTCTTCAATTGTTCTGGTCTCTTTATTTTACCCCTCCCAAAGTTAAAATCTAACTTAAATGTTGGTAAAGTAATTTGGTAATATTTTGATGTTATTTCCCTCAGTTTTAACAGTTGTTATGGAATCACAAGCATACCTTTTATGCACCAAAATTAAGCATGGAATTTAGTAAGTTCTGTTGAATAACAATTTTATCAAACACTTTAAAATATAGGATATAATATTTTTAGCTCTCCGTAACTCCTCTGTTGAGCTGGCTCTAAAGACAATCAAGTTTAAGCACAGAGACGGAAACACCTAATCTAAACCACTTGAACCCGGCCGGGACCGGAAAGTGAGGAGCTGAGTGGTGATCTCAGTTTCTCCAATACTTGCATCAAGAATGTGTGACCGGGGCAACTAACCGTAAACAAGGAAAAGTTTACAGAGCATCGAAATGTTCACTTGTAGACCCACTAGCTTTCCAGTCTGAGGCAGAGAAAGACTGACAGGCCCCGCAGCTAAACAGCCCCAATTTTGGCAAAGAAAAAGCTAAGAGGGCGGCGACAGATCACCGCACCCAACGCCTTGGAATAACAAGTGAGGCTGCACTCCCGAGGGTACAAGGAGGCCTCGGTACACCCCCGTGGCCCAAAATGTCTCTGCCGCAGCCCCCACCACAGGCCCCGCCGGGACCCTCGGCCAGTAGCCAGGCCCCGCCCGACCGGTCCTCAGCCTTCCTCTGACCGACCGAGCTCTGCTCGTCTCCAGCCTACGCCCGGTCTCAGACCCGGGCCAGCGGCAAACACATCATCCGGGCCCGCCTACCTTGGTCGTACGGATGTGCTCCATCCCGACGAGAGTCGGCCGGCGGCCCGCCTCACCGGCGTCTCATGAGGCCAGGGAACCCGGGCGGGGACGGCAACCAAGACTAAGCAGGAACAAGATCAACGGGTGAGCGCTACTAACAGCCCACCCCCGGCCACACCGACTGCGCAGGCGCAGCGGTCTGTGCCGTCTCCTAGAAACACTTCCCCAACCCTGGGGCTGGCGATAGGGTATTTGCGGGTGGAACAGACCATAGCGGAAGGAGATGAGCTTCTTAGTCTTTGGGGACTTCGCCGGTTCTACAGTGCCCCCTGCCGGTGGAGGACTCACCAAACCCTGTCAGAAGGAGATCCTTTACGGAGCAGTTCGCAGAGGATCAGAAAGACAGGTGTGTGAATGGCTCCGGGGAGGATTTTGCTCCGCACGAAACGCCACAAAAGAGAATTTGGTGGGTGAGGGTGACCTGTCGCTGAAGTCCATCACCCTAATAGTGGACAGCACCAAATTGCAATGCTTTTTCTTTACTTTGAGCTACAATTCTACTCACAAGAATTTAGTCTGAAGAAACAATCAGGCATATTTAGTTTATCTTTATTTGAAACGATAAAAATCTTCCATACTATGGCATACCATAAACATTAAAAAGTCAAAGTGAGAGGCAACAAACATTTACCTGAAGTCAGAAAATAAATAGCTATTTGGGAAGCCTGATTCAGGGAGAAAACCAAAATACTGTTTGGATTGGGAGACAAAGGCAAGGGGTATTTATGAGAAAGGGAAAAGGAAGCAATTATATTAATGGAAGGAAGGTATTTCTGTTGGTGCAGATAAACAGACATAGTGGTGTTAATTCTAAACAATGCTTTTAATGTTTGATCTGGTAGCCATCAGTCTAGTAGCCAAGTCCAAAGGTTAATTTGCCCTGCTTTAACATTTTAAAGCTTTGAGATATAAGGTGTTTATGGCAGTTCAACTCCATTTTAAAGTGGATCTTTTTTTTTTTACAACAACATCCATTTAAAAACATGCAGTAGGTCGTAGAAGCAAGTAAAACCTGAACAAACTAAAAAATCACCAACTTTTCATAGATCTAAAAGAAAACTGAAATCACAGGGCAAACCACTACTCCAAAAATCACAGAGGGAAAGGGGAATACAGACAACTACAACTGAGGGAGCAGAAACACTCAAATTAAACCTTCCCTGGGAATCAGTGCCTGGCAGTGCCTTTTTACCACTACAGCATGCCTGACCATACAGAAAAAAAATTACAGGAAATATGAAAAGGCAAAAAACAGAGTTTGAAAAGACAGAGGAAGCATCAAAACCAGATTCGCATATGGCAGGGATGTTGAAATTATCAGACAGGGAATTTAAATCAGAATTTATATGCTAAGATCTCTAATGGATGAGGTGTTTACTTAGACATCCATTAGACAGATGGGCAGTGTATGCACAGAGGTGGGTATCCTAAGAAAGAACCCAAAAGAAATGATAGAGATTAAAAAAAAACTGCACCAGAATTTTTTTTAAAAAGGCCTTTAATGGGCTTATAGCAGACTGAACATGGCTGAGGAAAAAAATCTCTGAGCTTCAGGCTATCTCAATAGAAACTTCCAAAACTGAAAAGAAAAAGAAAAAAGACAAAAAAAATAGAACAAAATATTCTAGAAGTGTGGGACAGCTACAAAAGGAGAAACATATCTGTAGCGGGTATTTCTGAAGGAGAAGAGAGAGAGGGACAGAAACAAGTATCTGGAACAATAATAACTGAAACTGTTCCCCAAATTAATGTCATGCACCAAAACTGTGAAATCCAGAGAGCTCGTAGAATACCAAAAAGTATAAATACCAGAAAAACTACGTATCATTCCCAAACCACATAAAATCAAGGATAAAGGGGGGAAATCCAGAAGAAGCCAAAGAAAAACAAACACCTTACCTCTAGAGGAATGAAGATAAGAATTATATCTGACTGCTCTTCAGAAACCATGCAAGCAAGAAAAGAGTGAGGTAAAATATATAAGTGCTGGCAGAAAATAAAAATCAACCAACCTACAATTCTATGCCCTGTAACATTATCTCCCAAAAGTGAAGAGGGAGCCATGGCTGGGTAGCTCGGTTGGTTAGAGCATCTCCCAATGCACCATGCTGAGGTTGCGAGTTGGTCCTGGGAGGGTCTGATACATGCAAGAATCACAGGTTGATGTCGGTCTGTCTGTCAATCCACCCCCTCCTCTAAAATCAATGAGTAAAATTTAAAAAAAAATTAAGTCGAGGGGCAACGAAGACTTCCTCATACAGAAATGGAAGGAATTTGTTGCCAGTAGACCTGCCTTGCAAGAAATTTTCAAACAAGTTCTTTAGAGAGAAAGCAAATGGTATAAGTCAGAAGCTTGGATCTACATAAAGAAAGGAAAAACATGAGAGAAAGAATAAGTGCAAGTAAAATAAAATCGTTTATGGTTTTGTTTTTAATTGATCTAACAGGTAACAGTTTCTTCAAATAATAGTGGCAACAGTGTACTTGGTTGTGTGTGCCTGTGGCATAAACACATAAATGCAGTGTCTGGGAGAAGAAACGCCTGCTTGAGTGTGGTTGGTAGGGTAATCACGTGGGTGTCATAATTTATAGTTTTAATTTGAACATTTTACCTAAAGTTTCATTAGGTGTACTTGAGTGTGATATCATTATGTTACAGAATTACATGCTTGTGATTTTGGAATAAAGGATTTGGAATAAAGAAGGGGTGTTATTTGTGCCAGGCCCTGTGTAATTCTGTAGAAGTGAAATGAACGATAGCTATGACACAAGGGGTGGGAGGGAAGAATTAGAATTATTTTGTTATTATAAGGTACTCACACTACCAAAAAATTATGCTGCAGAGAAACATTACATAACAAAAATGTTGATGCATATAAACTGTTAAATTCAATGTGACTGTTTTGTAATTTGTATTTATGTGAACAAAAAGCTTACACTTCTAGATGTAATTTCTCCATTTTAGTGTGACTTTAGTAATTTCTCTATTTTACTGGTTCTCAGCCAAGAGTGATTTTGCCCACAGGTGACATTTGGCAATATCTGGAGACATTTTTGGTTGTTATAAAGTGGTGTGGCTATGATGCTATTGGCACATGGTGGGTAAAGGCTAATTCTCCTACTGAACATCCAACAATGCACCAGTCACCTGCCTGCCTATAAAGAATGAACTGGCCTAAGACATCAGTTGTGCAGAAGCGGAGAAAACTTGCCCCATGTTTTCCAAGTGTTCTGTACTAAGCAGTTTCAATTTTTTGTAAGTAGAAAATGCTGTTTTAAAAATACCAACATTTTTACATCATCTTTCTTACTGCATTTGTTGTTTAGGTTATCTGTTTAACGTGTAAGTTTTCTAGTTAAAATTTTGTTGCATTTTGCCAGCATTTCATTCATTTATCATATTCAAGTTGTCTTTGTGTTGCTCTGTCATGAGTGCCTGCTATGTTTCATACAGATCGCCAAAGCTATGCCAATTCTTATTAAGTATAACAGTCTTTGTAGTGAAATCGTGGACTGCTGTGAGTTAAATATATACTAAGAAAAAAGCGGAACCACCTGGAAACCAGTATGAGTACATTATCATATCCAAAAGAAATATAAATTTTGCTCCTAGGCCCCCCACAAAAAATATTAAAAACTAATGTGATCCTTTCAAAAAGCAGGAAATGATGAATTATATTGCATGGCATACATCAAGACATCCTTTATAAAACCTTTTTATATTATTTTCTTCCAGATTTTTATAGTTTTCCTCATTCCCTGTTCCCATGCAGGTTAACACGCCAGTTTACCCTCCCCATTCTGTTATCATTTCTCATTTTTCTTACTAATTCTTTTAGAGAGGTAGTGATAATGGTGTTAATAAACACTAACGTGTTTATCAGGTGGCAGAAAGGGTACTGTTTTATCTATATTATAAAAAACGTACTATTACTTCCCTCATTTTAAAGATGAGGAAAATAAAACACAATGAAGTTAAATGACATGCCCAGGATCACACAGATGATAAAGCCTAAATCTATGATATGAAACCAGGCAGTATGACTGTAGAGTCTGTATTCTTAACATCAGTTTGATATAGATTTGTTTTTCAAAATCCATATAAAAGTTCCATTTTGAAATGGTGCTATAAATTGGGAACTGACCCTGCATTAAAAAAAACTAAGATAGTAGATAAACAGAAAATCAATTTCTGTAGAGCATTCAAGCAACTGACAAGATAGTGAGGACTTAAATGCAAAATACAAGAAAGGTGTACACACAGAGAGGTGAGCAGGGTACTGAAATTGTTCGTAGAGGAGGATTTCCCAACTAGGCAAATCTAGTACCTGTTTTGATGCCCTTACATGAGACAAAGCTCAGAAACCAAACTCCAGGGTCCACCCTGATGAGCATTACAATAAAGGGACTCTCCTTACAATAAAGCCAGGGCCACAGGGAAACACACCGAATCCAACTGCAGAATACAGCAGGAAATTTACCTTGACATTGAGAAAAGAAAAGGGGTGGGGGCATAATTACCTGTCTCAAAAATATTAAACGATCACTAAAAGACTTATTTTTTATTTGATGTTTTTTTATTTTAAAATATATTTTATTGATTATGCTATTACAGTTGTCCTGTTTCTTTCTCCGCTTTATCCCCCCTCTGCCCTGTAACCACCTTTCCCCAGCATGTCCCCCTCTTAGCTCATGTCCATGGGTTGTACATGTAAGTTCTTAGGCTTTTCCATTTCCTATACTATTCTTAATCTCTCCCTATCTATTTTATACCTACCAATTATGCTTCTTATTCCCTGTACCTTTCCCCCCATTTTCCCCAATTCCCCTTCCCACTGAGAACCCTCCATGTAATCTCCATTTCTGGGATTTTGCTCCTGTTCTAGTTGTTTGCTTAGTTTGTTTTTGCTTTTTTTTTTGGTTTAGTTGTCGACAATTGTGAGTTTGTTGTCATTTTATTGTTCATAGTTTTGATCATCTCTTTTTTCTTAGATAAGTCTAACATTTCATATGATAAGGTCTTGGTGATGATGAACTCTTTTTCGTCAACCTTATCTGGGAAGCACTTTATCTGCTCTTCCATTCTAAATGATAGCTTTGCTGGATAGATCAATCTTGGATGTAGGTGCTTGCATTTCC